GTTTAGGGAAGAGGGAAAATTCAGCGGGGGGCCGGTGAATACGTGGTCAAGGCTTGATAACGGTTTTGTTTTTGGCCAAAAACTCACCCACAAGCATCGATGTGTGAGATGGTGCGTTATCATGGTGAAAAATCTATTATTATTTTTTCCACAATTTTGCGCGTTTCTGACGAATTGTAGGTAATATTCCTTATTGACTGTACGACCTACAATGTTTTCATCGGTTGTCGACGTGCCCGGGCGACCAGGACGAGCATTGTCATTGACATCTTCTCGGCCTTCCTTAAACCGGTTATACCACAGTTGAACTTGTGTTCTGCTCATAATAGACTCACCAAACGCTACATTCAACATTTCAAATGTGCTTGCGCATTTAATTTCTTTTTTTTTTATACAAAACAAAATATAGGTTTTTTGATGTATTTTTTGGAATAGTAAAAATATATACAAGAAGAAGAGATGTCACCAAAATTTGATATTTGGAAGTTTGTTTGTTAGCAAAAGCCAGTGATCGCGAGCACGGGCACTCTTTTCGTATGTACAACTATTTTTATTAAAATACAAAAAAGAGAGATGTGACTGTTGAGTGCCAATTTTCGAATATGCCAGCATGAGAGTACTATTAAGTAAAGTGTTATAATTAATTATTTTAGCTTAATATGTTAAAATGAATGGTTAGCATTGCGTACTGGCAATTGGAAGACTCGGGTTCAAAACCTGGTGTCGCCCTGCCCCTCGGCAGGGAATGTCAACCTCTCCGAGTGCATTTCTGAAATGAAATGAGGCGGTTGGAAAAACATCAAGACGCAAAACCGAAAATTGGAGGAAGAGCTCTGCCGAAAATCGCTTCAACGGTTACAAAACGTCAATTATAAATATATTTATGTTAATATATAAACATATACGCTTATTCAACAGCCAGAAGTAGGGTAAAACCATATTTTTTATTTTTTATTTTTATTTGTTTTAACTAAAATTCATGCTTGTACATATCTGGTGGATAGTAAGCAGGTAATGAGTATGTTATTGAAATATAATTTTTGGAAATAAACTGTATTGAAAATATTACGAACCTCTTAATTTTTTGTAGGAGATGTTCCTTAACCTTAATGAAGACGCGCTTCACAGAGTGACATGGATTGTCGAGCGTGAGAATTTTGCTCACGTACTGAAAATATTCAGTTAATTTATATATGTATATAAAGCGTTACAGGCTTAAATTTGAACAAAATACCATTATTAAGCCTTAAACTTGCAAAATGTTTACTTATTTATTTAACTTTCAGCGAGAGGTACTCTGCGTAACAAGTGGTGCAATAACATAGAACGTAGGAAATGTTTCGATTCAAAAATTATGTGAACATAATGCTCATAGCGCGCCTTCTCTAGGGTTGAGGTTTCTATTCGGTTTTTGTAGTAACAATTACAATGGATAGATAAATATATTTTGAGCAATTGTTACGCCATTTTTCTTGGCAACGGCTCCAGACTTTAACTTTTGAAGTTTTTGGTTTGATTGTTGTTCAGTTGTCGGATGCAAACGCTGATGTTATTTTTCTTTAGTGTTTATGACTTATGTTGTTTGTGTCTCAGTTTGTATTGAATTTCTTTACACTCAAACTTGTATTTTATTAATTTTTATTTTATTTGGTTGTATGTCTTTAATCAGTCAGTCAGTCAGTGTACATTCACTTTTAATTAATTTTAGTTAGTTAAATTTTTGTTTTTATTTAAAATGTCCATCACTCTGTTTGTACTTTTGAGTAATATTTCCTTGAAACTCAGTTTAGTGTTATCGATTATTTTTTTATTATTCAACCTTTGAATTTTTTTCAACCAGTTTTAAAGTTTTCCTTGATGGTGGCTGTACACCATAGGTAGACTCAATTTCAACCTCGAAGACCATGTCGAAGCGTTGAGAGTAGGAGGGAGGGGATGTTTAGGAGTAGGGAATTAATCAATGAGGTATAAGTATATATTTACATATGTAGGTAATTATATAAAAATAAATTTTGAATTTTAGCATTATATGATACACATGTGCATATAATATATATTATATGATTTCTTTCGTACAAAAGTACTATGACAATTTTAAGTAGATAGTAATGTTTTATTAACTTTGAATTAGGGAGTTTACAACTAATTTAATTTTGAAAGACATCGCCCCGTACGCCCTTGCTTTCCTGCATATGTAAGTCGAGCAGTCCGAGTCGTTTACGCCTACAGTGACACCACATTTACAAAATTAATATATACTTTTTGCTAAATTTATTTTTCTTTTGTAAGTTTTTATTTTTGGTCAATTGGTTTATTTTCTCTTTATTTTTTACTAAACTTACCATTATGCATTACATAAAAGCGCACGCATAAAAGCCAAAGTGCTTGCAAATTTGATTGCGAAATCACCTTCGCCAGGCTTTTAACCCTGTTGGGTCTTGTACGTGCTAAGCATATGGATTTTACTTAACGGTTGCGCCTTAACATTATATGAACATTCTATGGGTTTTGCTCTGGATTTATTTGCCTTTATATTTTTATGTTTTCCTTTTGCTCTAAGACTTTCTATATTTACACATTATTGATAGATTTTGACTTAATCGCCCACCCTAATCGAGGTGAGGATGGCGGCTCTCCATAGGCAGCAAAGGTTGTTGCTGTCATCCACTGCGGTTGTATAGTTACGAATTTCGGGCAGATTTACAAAAGTAAGATCTGTCAACAACCCCGTGAGTACGGCATTTAAAATTTCTATGCCCCGCTTGTAATACATCGATCCCGCAGTCAAATGAGTGCAGTCAGTTGGGAGTGCAAACTCATAATCAGAAATAACAACGGTGGAAGTCTATAAAACCTGCGATTGGCCGACCCCCCTTCTACAAAGCAACAGCGGTAAAAGTTACTCTAGTATCCGCATCTGGAGCAATTGATACAACCGGGAATTCTCGTGATGCTAGTGGCCAAAAACAACCACTTTGAGATTTTGATATCAGGATTAAAAAAATACAATATTAGTGGTATTATTAATTTGCTCAGTAAATGAAATTGATAAAACAATCGTTGTTAAATTGTGAATTAACTTAAAAAAGCCAAACAAAATTTTAAGCGAATTTGTATTAAACTAACAGACCTGGCAACACGTTGCTCTGGCTTTCTGAAATTCGTCCATTTTTCATTTTAATTGGTATTGCAAATGATAATAAAAACTCCTCCTTAAGAATCATCTAGGTAAAAATATAAAGTTTTTTTTATAGAATTGATCAAAGTTTTCCAAGAAAATATTAATGTGAATGTTTCGAACTAAGCCGCCAAACGCAGAATAACAATAATAATAAAATTCGTACGGGGCCATAAATCTTACGCAAACCTTTCCCTCGAAAATTTCAATTGCAAGAGTGATTGCACTGGCTAACATTGTTAATTCCACGATAGACAAAGTTATCTAAGACTTTAAAGTTATGACTGTCAGCAGCGACATGGGACCCGAGTCGCCAATGCATTCACTGTTTCTGTGATGACAGGAGATATTTCGTCTTTCACACGCTCACCAACGGGCCCATATCCTTGACTTCCTTATCCAGTCTTGAAAAAGCAGAACTTACGGCGCGGTTTTTGAGACCAATAATGTCAATATCATCGGCGTAGGCCAGCAGCTGTACACTCTTATAAAAGATTGTAAATTTTCTATTCAGCTCTGCAACTGTAATAATTTCCTTCAGCAATAAATATAAGTAGCCACAGGACAAGGAATCACCCTGTCTGAAACCTGGTTGATGTTGAACCGCTGGGTCAGGTGCTTTCAGACCCTGACGCAGCTTTTGGTGTTACTTAACGTCAGATTACATGGCTGTGTAAGTTTTCTTCTCTAAAGTTTGGCGCATGGTAAGAATCTGGTCAAGGGTTTTTAAGGTGCAATCACTTTGTTGACGTAGGACTTTAGTCTTACACACAATACTCTCGATACTTTTTTATATGCGATATTAAGTAGGCTTAACCGACGGCAATTGTGTCGACTTTTTTGTGGATTGAGCAGAGCACACTTAGGTTCCAATCGTCATGCTTTCATCCGACCATATTTCGCAACGAAGCTGAAACATGCACCTTATCAGTTCTTCACTCCGTATTTGAGTAGCTCTGACGGTAGTAAATCGGGCATCGCCGCTTTGTTTTTCAAGCTGGCGAACTTATTCATATAGGGGCAACGAACCGTTCATACCATCGCCATCGATTGGAGAACCGGGTTCGCCAAATAGTATAAAATAAAACATTTGCCAAGAATGTAAGATCTGAGACTAGGCCAAGTACAATCAAGGTTATCAGGGCATTCCGCATAGTGTTGCCCGACGTGTCAGAAGTTATAGATTCTAGATATAAGGACTAAGGGACTCAAAATAACAAACGATAAATCCAGAGGCATTTATAGGGAGGTGAACGTACAAGTTGATTGGATGTAGACACGGAAGAGGGAATATCTCTATGAATGAGGTGGCAATAACCAAACATATTTGTACATCTTCTTAATTGTAAGGAAATCAATCAACGTGTATTTATTACTCAATAAATCACAACTTACTTTACTATACACGACTATTTTTATACAACTTCCACACTTTACTATTTTCACTTTGTAGCGCTGTTGTTACCAAGAAAATTTGTTACTATCTCCTCTCTGAGTTGGCTGCTCTTTTATATGCCACATCAATTTCTCGCACCTAGTTTAGAAGTTTCTGGAATTCACTTACGATATATTCGGCTCTAGAATGAGCTTTGGCGATCACCGCAGCGAAAGCGTGCGCAACAATTTCTTTTCCTGTATTACTCTATGTAATTATTTGTTGTTTTTATTTTTATTATTATTATAATTTTTCTTATAATGAAGGTGGTGCAAATCTAAAAATATGTAGAACTCAACAAGTAAGATGATTTATCGTTATTTAATTTATGTTTATTTGAGTATTAACTTAACATTTATATATTTCTAATGTATCTCTCCGCAACAGACATAAAACACGATTGGAATTCATAAGGATTTCGGCAGCGGTTATGGGAATTGAATTTTCATATGCTGCTGAAACTGCTTTTGTTTCGCCTACTTTGTTGAAAATTGGCATAGACCATCAGCACATGACATTGGTATGGGCACTGTCACCTCTAATTGGATTCTTTGCGTGCCCTTTCTTAGGATCATTGAGCGATCGTTGCAAACTAAATTTGGGTAGAAGACGGCCTTTCATAATTTTATTATCAATTGGTGTTATTTTCGGTGAGTATATATTTTTTACAATATCTTAGTAATTGTGTCAATAATTACATATAATGCCAAAATCCGCTATTAATATTCATTTCAGAATGTGCCTCTCCAAGACAATTGGATTTTTACTATTTCGACTTACTTTATTCTCTTCTAAATACATATTACAAAAAAGGGAACGTAGTTTCACTCAATATAAAATTGACAAAAAAAGATTTTTTGACATTATATCTTATTTTAATTTTAACTTCACGATATTGTCAATTTAAAAGAATATTTCATATATTTTTTTATAAAAAATACTTAGGCTCATGAAAATAATTTTATTTCCATCAGATTTCAGAAAACACAATGCGAAGCCTCTGAGTATTTGTGAGTACGTTTTTTCTTAATGTTTTGCTTACATCGAAAGCATTTGCATTTTTTGTAACATTTATTTTAAATTTTAGAAAGTTAAAAATTTGTGTATTAAAAAATTAAATATTTGGCCAAAGCGAATTTATAGAAGGTGAAGTAGTCACATCATATGATTGCTTGTTCTTCCTTAGATTTCAAAATATTACATTGCAAATTACAAAATGCATTTAACGACTTTTTTTTGACTTTTCGAGACTATGATTACACAAACAAAATACATAGACCTTTTGTTTTCTAATCCTTTCCCTTGTTTGTAGCACAAAAATTAAGCATATGTCAAAAAATCTTTATGCCAGATGGTTGATATTTTTCTAAAAAAATTTTGAGTGAGTCTACCTTGCTTTGTATCGTGAAAATTACATATTCTGATAGAAAATTATAGATCGTCAATATCATCGTCAGTTTTATGATCGTATCATTTTTTTTAGTTGCACAGTATTTGTCATCTGAAGATAATTTAAAAATTGCATACAAGCCATGATACACAACAAACAAAATGATATTCAAATAAGAAGTACAAAAAAGAACTCACATTAATTGGTAAACCGACATAAAATAGGAGACGTCTGCCTACAAGCGCGTACTTTAAATTTCATATGAAATATTTTATAAGTCAAAAATCTTTCTTTATATTGTATATACACAAGTCGTTGGCCAAAAACTAAATACTAAGCTACTGTAGGTGTGAGCCTTTTTCTCACTCTTTCATATGAATTAATCTTATATGAATATACTATATTCATATATTTTACTCGTTTTCATTAAAAAAAATATAACTAAGACTTTAACTCACTGCATTTCGGAGTAAGACGAAGCTCGACATCTAACTTTACTATATTCTTAAATATCAATTGTAAAACAAAAACTTTTGATATAAGTATTAAACTCAAGGCTTGGTTGTTTGTATGAATTGAATTTTTTGTTATACAACAAAGAAAAAATGGTAGAAGTGACAGCTGTTTCGGAGATCACCACATCTCCTCATCAGACTTATTATGGCAGGGATTGAGCTCACGGATCCTGACTTAACAGGCGAGTGCTCTACCACTGCACCAACATCAGCTATATAATCTATTTTTGTATTTTTCAATTCATTATTAGCCAACAACTATTAAGTGTTAGGAACCGTTACTCAAACGGTCACATAAACGGTTCCTACCTTTGCATACGTGTATACTATGGTGCTTAAAAGCAAACGTGAGAATGATTTTAATCTTAGATTAGAGCAAAGGTCCGTTAATTGTCTCAAAAACCACCTTAACCAAATTTTGTCTAAATATTTCTGAAGATTTTAATATTTATATTCGTAATTACATTAAACAGGTTTACTATTAATACCTAATGGAGAAGACTTAGGGTATTGGTTCGGTGACTACAATCCAGATTCTCACACTGTATCAAATATAACAAACAAAAGTATTGCAATAAATTCTGGAATAACCACATCGGAAAGTGAATTACGAATTATACCGCATAATAGTCATCCATGGGGAATATTCTTCACAGTTTTAGGTACAGTTCTTCTCGACTTCGATGCGGATGCTTGTCAGAGCCCAGCCCGTGCATATTTATTGGATATATGTGTTCCAGGTGAGATTATTTACATGTATGTAGGCTTATAATGTATTAATAATATAGTCACATCTACATGACAAATTTTCAATGTTATAACTATATTTACAGTACGATATATAAGGCCTCGGCTCTTACAAAAAAATGTTGTTCTTTGATATAAGTATAAAGTATATACAAAACCAAAAAAACCCCTTCAAATTTATTGCTTGCAGATACTTGAAACTTGGAGAACGGGTTTTGCATACAACGTCCAAAAAGTGCTAAGGCAGTTACAAAGTGCAATATTTACTTTCTTCAAATTGCATAGTTTGATTTTTATATGGGAATACTTCCTCTATTCTGGATTTTTTTTTTTATTTGGTAATAGCATAATTTTCCTTATTTTGCTTGTATGAACAATTTTGGTATTTTAATAATAATAATAATTATAAACAGGTATTAATTAACAGTTGCCATTCCTAATTGCAAGTATATTATTTATTAAAGTCAATATAATATTTTTCAATTCCATGATTAGCGCTTTGTAACCGCTGAAGCGATTTCCGGCTGAGCTCCTCCTCCAATTTGTGGTTTTGCGTCTTGATGTTTTTCCACAAATGTAGGGACCTACAGTGTATACTAAGCCGCCTCCGAACGGCTTATGGGTGTTTTATGAAGAGCTTTACACTCGGAGGGGTTGACATTCCCTGCCGAGGGGCGATCGCAATTAGAAAATTTATAACATTTGGATATTGGTCGCACGGGAATTTGAGCCCGAGCCTTCCCAATGGCAATACGCAATGCTAACCACTCGGCTACCGCGGCCGATTAATTTCATGATTTGTAAAAATATTTGGGTGAACTAACCCGTATTTGGCTGAGACTACATTGTCTTGCATCCTGTAATTCTATTTTACTTATTAATTTTATTTTTGTCCTTTGTTGTAGGTATATGTGTTGCTGATATTCTTCGTCTACAATTTTATATATAGAATAAACACCTTTTCCAATTCCTTTCCTATCATTTTTTAGAATTTTTCTCATTTGACTTATCGCTAAATTAAAGGAATTGCTTGTCTGTATCTGTTATGCCAAATGCCGTCAATATAATGATAACGAGTTGTCATATTCAGGCCTATCTGTCGATATAACAAAATTTACTTTGGTATTAAAATGTACCATTCAGTCAATTTTGTTACTGTCTCGTATTCTGAGTTCACTTTCACCATGTAAATTTTATAACCAGCGAAATAAGAGGTAACAAAAAGATCTATTGTTTGATTTTGTGTTGTTAGTTTGAGAAAAAATAAAAACCAAAATAGGTAGGCATATTTTAGGCCTGGAATTCATTGAAGATGAAGAAAAAAAGTGCAAAAAGACGTATTTTAAGAAGTGTTTGAGACAGAAAATAGCCCTTTTAATTTGTAAGATAACGTTTTCATCGAGGTTTTTTTGCTGTCCAGGCGTATTTTCCATAATTAGGTTCAAATATGTATGATTTAACAAACAAATTTAATAAAACTTATTGATTTTTTTGCGCACCGTCTTCCATTTTTCTTTTTACTTTATCAACTGGCAAATGTAATTTGACATGGACGAAAAAAAGCAGTGCTGCCAAATTTTTTTCAAACATTGTAACCAGTTCGCCAGAATATCAAATCCAATTTCGGGTGATAGAGAAAAGTAACAAAATTTGTGTTTACTGTCATATTTGTCAGCCAAATGAAAGCAAGGAAATTTCGATTTCCAAATCGAAGTGGCAGCGTTTGACATTCAAATTACAGTTGTTAACATGTTGGCATATTATTTTTGTTTGCCGCGTGAGCAACTGGTAAAAGTGAATACATACGAGTATATTGAAATACGGGGAAGATGCCGCGATCGGAAGTGTCTGCCAATTGAACGAATCCACCACTGCTTTGTCTTTCCTTGGAGACTTTGCTTTTTGTTCCTCGCTTTTAAGGTCGTTATGATACAAAGAGCCGACGTTGCAATACAATTGTTTTTCTATTATTATTCATTTTAATACTTTTTTGAATACGAATTATATTTAAAGCAATTAGCTTCCAAAAACTGTCGGTTCACATTAACAGCTAAGACGAAAGCCAATAGTATGACAGGATAATTTGACGACAGTCTTTGACATGTACGACTTTACTCATTTGGTCAGTTTCATTGATGTAATGAAAACGAATTTGACATCAATTCACAGCTAATGAAAACTAGTCAGTAGTATAGTGTCTTGTCAGTCTGTGATAAATTTTCTTGTATCGTCTGTTTATCTTTGTCGTACATTTTGTAATTGTCCATTTAGCTACAGTACCTATCACATTTATAAGTCCTCGTTTTTTGTCTTGACGTTAATAATTTATTTCTTGCTTCTAATACTTCGGCTTGTAATATGTCCCTGTTACTTGGTTTCGCTAATATAATGTATATATAAAATCTATATAACTATTGGGTTTTGTAAATGCTGTTAAATTTCTTCTTGGTCCGAGAACTCCTGAATTCGTGCTGCTTTAAATTGCATCTGGTTTTCAATTTTTGCAAAATGCTCTTTTAATTATTCAATTATTGTAAGTGAGTAAGCTGTCCCAAATTTTGAGAGTTTGTTTAGTTTATTTAAAAAACGGGTACCTTTATTACAATGTGAATTAGTTGCATTAGTTTTGGCTAATGTATTTTATTTTTAACGTTGTTATATATAAGTTCCATTTATTCCTGAATGCAGATTTTCCCTAATATGACAAATATTTTATGGCTTCAACTTCTGTCTCAATGTCTGTTGCTCTCATGGTAGAGTTTATGAATTTAATTTGACTATCATTTGAATAAATGCCTATTTTACCTTTGGAAATAAATCTTCTAAAAATATCTCTCATTTGTTCAAAGTCGCATTCTTCAATAAAAATGTTTCTCTTCGAATGTGATGTTGAATATTTATAGATTTGCTGATACCTGCTTCTCACATCGTCCATTACATAGATGAACTTTCCGAACGATATGGGGTGCATTACCCGATAAGACCTTATCGAATTCGCGAATAAGTTGTTCTTAAATAAAAAAGATGAAAAGAACAATTAAAAATGAAGTAGAAAATGTATCGGACATTTATTGTTACACAGCTTGAATGTACTCAGGATCCGTATGCATATATCGCACTTCTATCTCTATATTTTTTTAATTAATCAATTGTTTTGTATTATTTTGTTTACTTAAAATTATGTATTCGTATTTGTTTGAATATTTACACCGAAACTTCTTACAAAGTAAGAAGCAAACTATAAAAATTACGTTCTACTCAAAAATAAGAGTAAAAACAAAACGGATATTCCGTTCAAATGCATTATCTTTTAATTTCTATGTACTCAGAAGAAGGTAGTATCCAAGAATCGATACCTTTGAATATAAATGTACTTCATATTTGTATTACTAATAATAGGGGCACTGTACATACAAATGTCTAGGTTGTACCCACTTATGTAATATATAATTGGCACTTTGTAATCGTTGAATCGATTTTCGGGTGATCACCTTCTCCATTTGTGGTTTGCGCCTTGAAGGTTTTTTTACAGATGGAGGGACCTACAGTTTTTTCTAAACCGCTTCCTAACGGTCGATGGATTTTTTTGAGGGGCTTTTTTCATATCAGAACTACACCGGAGGGCGAACGCGATTAAAAAATATTAATTTTCTAAAATCTTGGACGTTTGATACGAAGTATTAGTACCACAAAAAAAAAACACAAATATATATTTTTTTAGACAAATGTTTTGTATAAACTGGACAAGTGACAAGTGACAAGTGAGTTTACATGTTTACACTAGCGGCTATTTGATTCCATGATGACGAAAGTGGAAGGAAAGTATCCATCCTTGCAAGCATTGCCACCATATTATTACCCGGTGTGATACTGTATCCAGGAACCCATATTAGGTTGAAAGAGAACTAGCCTTCCGTTAGCTGATCTGCGGAAAATTGTTATTTAGTTTTGACCCATTTCTAAAGAAATCAATGAAATCTGCATTTGCTGGTGTTATCTTACTCGATTGGTTTCTTACCGGGAGAACTTGAAATGTGTCGTGAATTCAGTTAAGGTTATGAGGTTGTCAGTCAATTCTAGTAGATGGAACCATCTTAGGATATATTTTGTCAGATAGTATAATGGAATTTTGTATGGCGGATTGTGCATCGTGCTTTGCTCGACCTTGTCTAGGTTTGCGGGCTTACAAAATCAATAAGAATTGAAGCCTAGCGATCAGTGATTATGATTTTAAAAGGTTACTTTAATATTCAAAATAGTCGCATTCGGTGTGAGAACACATTATAGAACCATAATTAAAGACTTCGCCGTGTGTTTGATTTTCAGTGTATTATCTCGTATCGCGGCGTAGCCTCCGTGCGATAAAACACTGCTAGACTATCCTATCCTAGAGTTATGTGAAGTCACTGTCCTACGAAGATAAACCGAAGATAATTAACACCTTGGAAGAGATGCGTTATTGCCGACATATGTCCTGCACGTAAAACATATTTCACAATCCCATGCGCCAACAGCAAAATCTCGTGATTTTTTTTTTTTGCTGTGCATACAACTCAAAGCTGAAAATGAATGAAAACAGTTGTATAAAGAAATGGTCACACATGGGAAAAGGAAATGCATCTAATTGTGAGTAATAAAAATAATTTTCGTCGACCTGCTTAAGAATTTAATGCAATAATTCAAACTTAATTTATATTGTAGTTAATATGTTAATATAATATAACAAAATATGATGTAACATTGAAGTTATCGACAGTTAAATATTACTGAGTACGTAAAAACATAACGGTATATTCGGGAGAGGAGATACTTCACACAGTATGTATGTATATAAATTGTTTTTATACGGTACTTATCCAACGAGTACATAAAGTTAACAGAACGAAACAAGCAATATGAGTACAGCTCACCCTAATAAATGTACGTTTACAAGCAAATACCTAACTTGAAATAGGAGCTTACAACAATAATAATATGAACTAAAGCATTCTGT